GCAATATATAAGTATTGTTGTACAAATAGTTACACTCGTTAATCTAAATCTGAATAATATATGGAGATGTTAAGAAAATATGAAATAATACACTAAAACTAAATAATACAAAATAAAATATTTTAAAACTGCTATTTTCTTTTACAATACAACTATATATAGTATCTATAACAATTGTCTAAAGATTTTACGACAGACCTTCTTTGAGAATAGATATATTCGTAACTTGAAATAGAAATAAAAATTCAATCATAAAAATTCAGTCATAAAAATTCAAGAAAGAATCTTTTATATTTTAAGTTATGGAAGATTTGCTACTTTTGTATATCCTTTCCCAAGAAAAAATAATATTAATTATTATGCATAAATTCAAGATGTAAATTTATATGTAGATACTTAATATGACACTTTTAATAGCATAAAATTTATGTCTTAACGAAGCAAAATCTAAGGAATAACTTGTAAAATATTGTAGGTCGATGCAGAATATATCGATTATTTGTTGTAAATACTTCCGACATATGCTGAGAAATCTAGAAGGATAAGTTTCTTTTAACTTCCGATCTAGTTAAATAAATCTTGCCGGCTTAAGCTTGTAGAACAAACGTAAATTTCATTAAGGATAAATTGAACAGGCTTATGTTTAGCACAACGGAGAAACTCTTTCCATTAAAGAACAAAGTTTTTCTAGATTTTTAAAAGAAATTACGTGCATTTATATGAAAAACTGGAAATCAACTTACAGAAAATTATTATAAAAAGTGTGAAGCAAATTGAATAGAAATAATCGTCAATATAAAGCAATTATTACAAAAAAAAAGCTTGTACAAGTTAAATTTGCAAAAATAAAATCTATAATAAATCTATTTTTTCAGACCAAAGTACTTTATCAAATTTATTACATATCAAATAAAAAAAAAGCATAATGTCATTACGATGTTACATTAATCATATGTTTATTTTAAAAATTATATAAAAATTCGTGGTGCTAATCTTACAATTTATTATTTTTAATTTATGAATTGTTAAATTATGCGGTAATTAAATATTGTGATATAAATATATGTATTTATGATCCATAAATTTCGCAAAATAATAAGTTTCTTCTTTATTTAAATAAGAAATTTTAAAAAAGTGTTTAATATACCAATTTTTTAAAGTTAATACAATATGTATATCCCGATATACATATAATTCAAGAAATGCGCCGGGAAATTAAGTTCCTTAATTACGATCTGCAATTTTACCAATTACTTTTCAATATTCACGCGATATAATAATTGCGTCAATGTCTCTTTTTAAGAACCATAAAATTCCAAGATTTTAAATCAATTCTTTATATCGATCTCTTTCAATATAACGCGATAGCCGAACTTCGAACGAACATCTGCTGCAACTTTTAGACGCAATACAACATTGCCTGCAGTTCCAGATCAAAGAGTGCCGTCTAATTAATATGCATTCAATCTACTAACGGTTTCAGTACGTTTTTCGCCTGGACATTTCATCACGCGCAATGCATTGCCTTTGAGAAAATGGTTTTTTCAAACACTAACGCAAAAGTTGTCGCCTCGTCGGCGTCGGCTTCGCAATTTCGAACACAGAATCAAACTCTTGTTACTTCCGAGAATCATCACAAGAATCCTCCATTATTCATATTGAACCACGAGGAATCGTTGGTATTATTCATCATGGCATTTTGATCGATAACATTTTTCCTCTCTATTTTTCGATAATTCGGACGAATGTCACGTATATCTATCGCGAAATCGCCTTCGAAACCTTTCTTTTTGTATACTTAAAAATGAGTAAAACAAAAAGCGAAAATTGACAAATGACAAAATGTTAGAATCAAAGTTATGTAATAAAGGATAGAGGATCAGCTTGCGACCGCAATTTCCCAGATAAAATTTTGTTATAAGATATAAAACCAATAGACGCGTAGAGAAAGTAAAGTAACATTGCATCGGCGAGATGTCATATTTAATGTTTCGTTTGCCTTTCACAAACAGTCGATAAAGCCTGTGATTTCGCCAAAAGTGATATGAATGTTACGACAATATTACGAGCAATTTCGCAGCTGCGATTAATATCAAAGCTTATAGAAACGAGAAAGGGTATTTGGTGATAGACACATTTGGCGTATACATAACGATGTTCTTTGTGATGCTATACATGTACACATTACAAATTTCCTCAATTACTTCTATATATTTCCATATCAAATATAACAGAAATATATTCCAATAAAAAAAAAGAACCATAAAAACTTTTCTCAACTTCACAATAGTGCCGGCAGATATTTTGCTGTGAAAACGTTTTTAATCGTTTTATTGATAAAATAATTTGTACCGTATGACTGGAATTACATAAAAATTATGCAATATTGTCACACACAAATACAAAATATTAAAAGATGTAATTAAAAATAAATATTTTAATAAGATTTGTGCAATTTGCTATTATTATTTGCTATTATTATAAAACTTCACAATTTTCTCGATAGAAAATTATTAGAAGTTTTGATAAAAGTCATTTATAATACTCTGATTAAAAAGATTATATCGATTTGTGCAAAGTGTATCTCGTTTTAGAAACGGATTTCTCAGATATTATTACTAAGAAGCATTTTGCGGGAAAACATTTCTTGTTCTTTTTTCTAAAAAGACAAAAAAAATGCAGTCAGACACATGGTACGGTTACTTCCTCGGGAGTGTGAAATTCGATCAAATCGATATAATCTCCGATTGCAATTCGGTGGAACAGTGTCGTGTACACGGCGCACCCGCATACGCTGTATCTGTCCCCAAGGTTTCCATTTCAAGCTCCCCGAGCAAACTCTGAGCTTACGTCGGACAAACCCGAAGCGGAAATGTCACGATCGACAAGGTGCAATTGTACAATACTCAAGCGACTCCAATAAGAAAGTTTAGTCATGCAACATCGTTGCGACTAACTTCCTCTGCAATGTGATATGTACATACATGGATAATAGCGATGCATCTCGATGCAAGTAGATATATGATTGGTACATTTTACACTTTTTCAATTTGGCGATAAAAATGTGATTAAATAAAATATTGTATTTTACACATTTAAATCTCTACAATTTATTTGAAGTAATTTAACATAAAATAAAAATAATTTTATCAGTGTTAAATGTTATTTTTACGTTTGTATTAATGTATAAACGTATTGTTATTGATATGTATTTTCATGTACATTAATTATGTTACGCAATAAATTTTATTTTAATTTTTATTTATTAATTCCTTTATCGAAACTGTGCGGAGGAAGATTTTCTACACGATATTTACCGGTGTAACTTTTTCTGTATATTGTACATTTCGTATTGTAAATTTGAGAAAGTTTTATCGCAATTAAGCAAGTTTTTATCGATCTAACTAAAAACTTATAAAACAAACAAATTTGTTGCGTATTATGTTATTAGATTAGGTTGTATTTTCAATTCTATTTGCGTTTTATTTCAGAGTAAAGCTTGTTCTAAAACTTATAGATACATAATCGTAAAAAAGCTCTTTTAGGCGAAAGGAGCACTAACATTTGATGTAAACGATCGTGAGAGAAGATCCCATCGCAAATTTTACTATACACACACATACACGCACCTGTGTATGCATTTGTATAATTTACGTTTACAAATGCCATACTAATAATTTTTTGCATTTGATGCATGTAAATAATTTTTTTACTATAGCGATAGTTCATAAGATATAACAAAAGACTGTATTCTTTATCAAGTTTTGAAGATTATATTCAAAGTGTGCGATTGTTTTTTACAATCCTATCGCCATAAGTAAAGATGCATCATGTTATCATGATAAAATAATGAATAATGAAAACAATTGATCTGCTTGTAAAAATATCATATTGTGAGAAATGATTAAGCAATTAATCATGCATGCACATATCATATCGCCATGAACAATTAAACAATTAACCAAGCAAGTAAAATAAATAAATTCACTCACTAAGCATTACACAGCGCATATTAATTCCATCAATCTGCCGCCAACCATCGTGCCAAGATCTCCTCCCAGGAGGCCATCCAAAGAGCTCCAAACAAAAATTAATTATAAAAATATACTGTCACTGTTCCGCCAACGATTTTGATAGTTTAAGACACACACGAATCACTTTTGATCTGAAAATAATATGAAAAACGCGGAGCAACTAACTGCGACAAACTTTGATCACAATACTTTGATTCCGAATGAACGTAGCGCCAGTTGCAACTGTTTTAACAGAGGTGTCGCAAAAGCGCGCGCGCGCGAAATTTGATTTAACACTTACCGACAGTCATGTACAACATAACACAAGAAAACTGAATTATTATTATATATATTACACAATTCATTTATTATAATATTTGCTTAATGCTTTATTCTTCACGATACTCAATTATATTCATAAAATGCATTAATGAAGAAAAAAGAATATGAATAATAAAGACCATCCTTCTTGTAATTTTTATGCATTTACAGAAACTATATGTATTATTAATTAATATTTTAATATGAATAATGTTTTATAATTGCTTGATATATAAAGTTTTTCGAGTATGACTGAATGTGTTAATTGATATTAGATTTTATCATATTGAAATATAAATAATTTTACTAAAATTTTCAATATCAGTATAATATATGACAGCTTATAACATATTAGTGCTCGATTAATATTCAATGCATGAGGTCAAGTATGTACAACGATAGGACATACGAAATTCCTGGGAAACGATGAATACTTCGAGTGCATAGGGCTAGGGTAACTATTCGCGTGACATTTCACAGATGGAATGCGAGGCATAATGGAACCGGCGATTGTTATCATACCAAAGAGACACTAGCAAATTCCAGATATTTTTCAGGAATATTTACATTGCAAAAGTTACATATAGTTACTTAAAACATCTTTTCAACACAGATTTGACGTAAGGCAAGACAAGGAATGGAAATAGAAAATAAAAGAAATGTAGATATTGTAGAAAGACATTGTCTCTTATTGTTTTCTCATTAGAAACATTACCTGTTTAAACTTATATAATAGCTATACATTCATAGATGTACATATACATACATACATATTGATCATATTTAAAATCGCAATAACTATCACACTATTTCATATTATGATCATTAATTTCAAGTGCGGCATTTCCTATTTCGTATATTAATAAAATCTCCTTCCAGACGTGGAAAACATTTTTATTTATATTTTATGTATTAGCTAAAGTAACTATTTAGCTAAAGTGCAGTCACTTTATGGACGTGACGGTGAAAAATCTTGAAAATGTAAAATGCAACATGTGAAAAAGAGTACATTTACGCGTATATTCTAAAAAGGTATAACCCCTAAAATTTGTCTATGCAATTTTTTATCAAATAAGTTTGAGCACTCCATAAATGCTTTGTGCATTGTTGAGCAACAAATTTATTTCGCTCAACGTGTCCAAGGAGATAAAAAGGCGTATAATTATCTTAAATTTCTCTTTAAATAACGGTGGAAATTCGGTATTATAGTAAATTATGTCTTACAATTCTATTTTATGTATAATTACATACTTTGTATTATTTAGTGGCTAAAATAAATAGTTCGGCATTGTATTATAACGTTCTTAATTATTGAAACGTCTTTCTCAAGATTTGCAAAGATAATATTAAAAACGAGAAAAAGCTTTTATCTCTTAATTTTTGTTTAACATGCGATCCAGAAAGAGATATCTCATTAAAATATAATCAAGGATAAGAGGAATGTTATATCATAGCAACGTACTATTTCTATTATTTTGTAGCTATATCTTTCTCTTTTTCTTTTACGCTTTTATATTTGTTTGATGCTACTGTATTTCCTTTTTTCTCGAAAGATTCAAAAGTCGTCCAGGGATACTACATATATCTAAACTATCGTTTTTCGTCAATTTAAAGTAGATGATAAATTTTGTTCATAAATAAAAACAGATTTAATTTTTTAATTCTTCATTTACCTCTTTTGTTTCTTATGTCTATTTGAAAATGTTCGATTATAGTCAACGTGATGGGCCTGGCACTAGGAATTTGAATTCCTAGTACTAACACTTTGTACAACACGTTGTCCCCACCATTGCTCTAAATTGAATGGCTCAAAATCTGTAAAAATATTTAAAATTCAATACATTTTACATACAATAAATTATTACACGAATAAAAACAGTAAATTATGAAAAATAGCAGTTACAATAACGTAAACATATAAAAATGACTAAACATATATAACGAATAAGAGTAGTTTTATTTGTATTTTATTTGCATAATTTTTTTAATGGATAAATCAAGAAAACACACACAAAATAGAGAATAAAAATAAATTTTTAAACCTAAATAAAAATTTACTGCTTCCAGAGAGAACAGGAAAGGTATTTACCTTTTAGCTGAGGGTTTGGCTCACGTTCTTGATAATATGTAATTGATGCGCCATATCTATATGGCGTGGGGGCATTATTGAGTGGTTGATTGTGAGACATATCTAGCTCTCTAGATACAGAGTTCCATGCTGAAACAATAAATAAAGTTAATTTTTCCAAATTTATATAATACAGTCATTTTGAATTGAATTGTAAAGCTAAATTATAGATACTTACAATCATAGATATACTTAATCAAATCAAAGTGCTGTGCCAGAGTTTCTGGCTGATGTCTAGAAGGTATCGAGGAAGGCCTCTTTCCATTCATTGCTGTCATCTGTGATCTACTACTGCAAATAACAAAATTATGATAAGCAATTGATCCAATTTGATTCTCTCAGCATCCGTAATATTCATTTAAGTTAAAAATTTAATTTTAATTAATATAATCTATATCTGAAGATAAAAATGATTAAAATAAATATGATGCTGAGATGTTAATCAAATATACATAATTATAAGATAAAGAAATGCATAAATGACTAACTGTATAAAGTTATTATGTGTTATAATGTATTTAAAAATTGCTTATGCAAGTGCAAAATAGAATAATTAAGATCTACAATTAACTTAAATTGCGATATCGCCGAAACTTAACGCAAACATAATAAAAACGATCGAATTCTTTCATGATAAAAACTTCAATATTAGAAGCTATATATACAATATCAAATATATGTTATAATGAATAAATCCACTGATTTCTGAAGTGTCTTAAAACATAAAATTAAATCATTAACCATGACAATTTCCATATGCAATTCATAGATATCATGCCAAATAAGTATTTACATAAGCACATTGTGTTCCAACGTGCTTTATCATTGGAAACAATGGAAACTGGTCATCGGAAAGTTAGAATAATAAAAGTGTTGAAACTTTTTAAGTTTCTAACTGATAAATCATTCTCGACTTTTTTAAATTTCAGAAATTTGTGAATTAAACGCATTAGACGCAAATTGATCATTAGGGGTGAGCAAAAACACAACGCGGGAAAGATGGCGGCTGACGGATGTGGGCGCGCTTTCCCGTTCCCGCCTGTAAGCGTCGTACTGTCACTTGCTCTCATTTCACTGAGCGGCCATGAGCGTGGCATCCCGTATGCTTTCATCCGAGTAATGAGGACATGAACAGCCAAAACTCGGGTGGCAAAGGCAATGATGACAATTAGAAAGACGTTCACGCGGAACCGTGGGTGTGAGATATGCGAGAATATCGCTCGCCAGTTTTCTGGATAATAAATACCTCATTGTTGCGGCCAATTCTGAAGCCTCTCGACGTCGACGACGATGCGGCTGGATTTGCCGTGATACGTGACGGTGGCCGTTAGAATACACAGCTGCTTGGCCGAAGCTGCCGGACGAGAACGGAGGAGGCTCCAGTGCCACTAATAATTAAAAGACTGTGGAGAGTGTCAATCAAATCAGTCACAGCTGTGTAGAGCTTACCTCAGTAACTGTCAACAATCGCTACACCACGAACAACCACGAACATCTGAATGGCTCGGAACGGACACTCATACGACGACGCAAAATGCGCGGCAGGAAATAAGTAATATGAACGGTCGACAGATGTCGCTATCGCTACTAAGTAATACCAACTCTAAAATAGATGTAGATAACATTACTGAAAAGAGGTTGGTAACCATTCTACAAGAAGCATTCGGTTGGTCACTCTCAAGTTATTCTCTGCCGATACGTAGTTGTAGGTACTTCTGAATTGACGAAGTATGTCCCCGTTGTGTATGAATTGGCGCGAGCACGACGCATTTCTCCATGCTATGTTGGTATTCCTTACTTTCTTATTTAACATCTAACCGTTAGTCGAAATTAATTTAATCTTCTAAATCAACGTTATATTGTTCTCATCAGGTGTGTCTACAGCATTAAATTAGCAGATTAGTAACAACAGTTAACAAAGTAAGTCTCGTTTTTTTAAATTATTTATTTTTATAATTTACAATTTGATTTCTTTCTGTTGTTTTTTCTATTGCATCGTATTGTATTAATGAATAAATAAATGAGTTTACAAAGAGATTTAGACACATAATCATAATTACTAGAAGAAATCTTTTTCATCTAACATTTCATTTTTCTAGTTTATTCGATATTTTTTCCGTAATTCAATTTTTGTTAAATCTGAAAGTTAACACATTTCTTAACCTAACTTCTTGGGTTTATAATTAAATATTATATAGATATAAATAGAACACAACAATTATATTATTACTTTTTCGATATTGTATCTATAATGATAAAAAACGCTTGAAAATCTATCAGAATATTGTAAGAAAGTTATATGAAGGTAAATACAATTACGTCCGCTTCTTTCCGTTATCCTGTAGTAGATTTAATCATCGTTTAAAAGATACATCCGTAACGCAATAGAAGCGGAAAATCCGATAGCCTCACCCTTCGTCTTACAAACTTGTTTCAAAACTTATCGTATTATCTGCGGCCTCTCCTTTCCTTGTCGAAATGTAAAAGTATCGAACGTAGTTAACTGTAGAGCTGTATAAAGTGATTACGGCTTTTGTCAAAGTAGTACAAAAAAATTATAGTCATACGATCGAGCTTTTAATTTAAAATTTTTAAAAGCATGTTTTTTGCGAGGAATATTTTATATTTTTCGTATCTTTATATTTTCTGATTTTTTTTGCACGTTATTGAAGTCATATTGTAGCTCATAAATAAAAAGGATATTAAAGTTCTACAAAATGGAAGAGTATTAAAATTTCCTGTTTTTAATTAATTTAGTTTCTGATTTCAATAATTAAAAGTTAAATTTTGTATGATAAATAGCTGCTTTTAATCTGTTTATTTTTTGTAAGGAATATTTTTTATGGACTCTTGCATCTTCACAATTTTCGCTAAACATGTCGAGAAACAAAACAAATAATTTAACATTTGTCGAATTTTGTAATTTAGAAGTTAGATTATTTCTCTGCAAAATAAATTTTTATTCGTTTTCTTAAATTTTTTCTTTTACTCAACTTAAATTTAAGAGACATTTTTTACTTATATCAATATCTGTCAAAAAGCTTAAAAATTATAATGAACAATGATATGTCTATCAATTTTTTTCTGAATACATCATAATACATTTATTTGTATTTACATATTGTATTTACATCCATACATATTTACAGTTATGTGCTGTCTCGTCCCGTATGGTTAAACATCTGACACCATGCTCCTGTCAAGGCGAACGCTGCTGTCATCATCACTATAAATGTCTTCTTGCATTGTCGGCTGATTGTCACTTTTCATAACACCGAGGACATTTTCGGCACTGATGTTCGGCACTTACTAAGGTAAGAAACATAAAAGTTTATTCAGAAATTCAACTACAGCGCGCGATTCCAAACCACTTTCATCTTCGAATGAAGTCCTGCCGAAGTAATTTTTTTCCCAGAGATTAAAAGTTACGAACTGGATGAGCGGAAAAGTTTGTGCCAATTATATCACACTTTTTCATTCGTTTCGCTCGCAGGCAGTATCGTTTTTTTCAACACGTGCTAAGCCCAGTAACAGGGAATCGGCTGGTCGTAACTTGTAAAGATCGGTGGGGAATTGTAATTAACTCTTTGCTTCACGCGGAGCTGTGATTTTTATCATGTTTTGCTTTATAAAAAAAAAGAAAAATACTATAATAGACGGACTGTAGTTGACACACAAAACGTGATTGTTTTAATATACGTAGAATTTATCTATTTTATTCTGTAACTACATTTGCCTTTTGATTTGCCTTCTAATTACTGTGTTGTTGTGAATTAATAATAACGTTTTATTTTTTATTATTTTTTTATTTGATTAAATTTCAATTTCAATGTAAAAATTGATTTACGAGAATTTATAAACAATTTTTTGAAAAAATATTGGTGAAATATTAATGAAATATAACGAGAATTTTGGAAATTATTTTGTTCCATTTCTTTTGGGCTACTAATCTATAGTATAACTTATTTCATATAGAGGCGTTTGTCAGTCATTTCGAAGTGAGATAATATTTCGAGACTGAAAAAAATATTTTAATGGCGTTAATTAAGGAAGGACAGTTGCTTTGAAACTGCTTCTTAACTAGGTCACTGCGCTTAGGGACGCGTTACAAATGCATCTGGTAATTAAACGTAACCTAGTTGACAGGTGAGACAATTCTATATTCGTCCAACGATAAAGACGTATCAGTTGCAACAAGATCTTGCAATCTTACCATCTTTTATAAGTTTAAACAATTTTAAACATGCCAAAATTTAAAGACGATAAGACACTTTTTTGTGTCTTAATATTAGCGATTAAATTAAAATAAGAAATTAGTTATCGCGCATGGAAATCTTTAAATATTAGATTGGTTAATGATTTCTAGAATAAAATATATGAAATATTGCCTGTTAGTTGAGCAAAAGATCCTTTCGTTATGGTGACATTCGAGAAGATCATCTTATCTTCCTCGAGTGACTGCGAAAGATCGAAGGCTTAGCCTCTGGAGAGGTTAAACTTTCAGAAATAGGAACTAAGGGAATAGCTTGAATACAAGTAACTATGTGAGAAACCGCGTCGCATAGTTCAAGAGGCAGTGATCTCGACTGTCTGTCTCGCGTTTCATGCCTGTTATTTGATATAATAATATTAATATGGGACCAAGTTAAATGTCATAAGATGATCATGACATATATTAATGTGCAATCTCATTTTGAGCATTTCGACATTTATGTATAATATTATGGATGGGTGATTCGTGTTTGATTAACTTATGACAACTGCATTTTCGCTGTATAAATTAGATTAATGGATGAATTATTTAGCGTGAAATTGATTATTATGCACTGTTATATGGATATGACAAAATTATAGCTTGATAATATAATATAAGATAAAAAAAGCGAAGAAGGAAAAAATAGTATTCTATTGAGAAAATGAGAAAAATTATATATATA